AGAATAGAATAGAATAGAATAGAATAGAATAGAATAGAATAGAATAGAAGTTTGGCAGTAGAGTTCCTGGCAAAAACCTCACACCCCATAGCAAAGAGTGGGTTCACGTAAGGACCTCAGGATCACTTAATGACTGCATCCTTATTGCTACTGCGCCAATCATTTTTGTATGACATCAAGAGATGTCACGCAATCATCTGGCACAAGCCTTTAGGATGTCACGTTGTGTCATGCCATCGCCATGCAAACGAAGCCAATTTGTTAGCAGGCCAAATTCTACCCAGGTAGTCCTTGTTCAGCGACTGCCTCATTCAGCGACTGTCCATAGTTACTACGGTGATGAAAAAATAACCTGGTGGGCATTTGTGGCCTTTGACAACTTTTGCAGGTATGTGAGACAAAGGAGAGCTGTAGGGAGGCCGTTAAGCAGAGTTATGGTTTCACTTAGTGACTCCTTTGCTTAACTGAGGGGCCGGCCTTCATTGTGATCACTAAATGAGGACTATCACTACTTTGCTTCACGTCTGTGCATTCATGCATGGCGTGCCAATGCCCTGTCCTCTTTTGGGGATGCCCATGGACATACACAAACACACAAGCACACACACAGAGGTACTCCTCCTCACCAGCTGGTTTCCTAACTCTCTTCTTCGTGTATACTTATGAATAGAATAGAACAGAATCTGGAAGGGACCCTGGAGGTCTTCTAGTCCAGCCCCCTGCTCAAGAGGAGACCCTATACTATTTCAGACAAGGGACTGACTGTTAGGAATGTAAGTCACTTAACAGTTGGGTTGGAAAATATATAAACCAGGATAGACATTTTAATACTGTCTCTTTAAGGGAATGCTAAAATTGTAATTGGGTGTGGTTCCTCAAAGGGCCATAAGATGGAGCCAGAAACCTGGGTTGTTTTGTCCTGTTGTTGAGTGTGTTGCTGTGACTGCATTTCCCTATTGACTATTGCTGATCATCGTTCTTCTTAGATTTGATGTAAGTCAGTTACTGAACTGTTTATGATCCTGGACTTTGTTATTGGATTATCCCTGGACTGAAAACTGACTGCTGTAACCGTGTATGACTTGGACCGTTTGTTGGACTTTGCTTAACTGTTTACTGGAAGTAAAACCTACATTTTACTAAACAGTGTATCTGTGTGCTGGCTGTGTGTTATTCTTCACCACTTTCAGTACGTCTCCCTGTGTGCGCTCATTCACCTAACGAGGAATTACCTCAACACTGACCAGTGACCACTCTTAAAAACTTCCAGTTCCACTGGTTAATTGTCCTCACTGTTAGGAAGTTTCTCCTTAATTCCAAGTTGCTTCTACTCCTTGATTGAGCTCCCATCCATTGTTTCTTGTTTTGTCTTCTGGGGCTTTGGAGAATCATTTGACCCCCTCTCCTCCTCTTTGTGGCAGCCCCTCAAATATTGGAATATTGCTATCATGTCACCCCGGGTCCTTCTTTTCTCTAGACTAGCCAAACCCAAATCCTGCAGCCCTTCTTCATATATTTTAGTCTCCAGGTCTTTAATGATCTTAGTTGCTCTTCTCTGCACTTTCTTTCCAAAGTCTCAACATCTTTTTTTGTAGTGTGGTGGGCAAAATTGGTTGCAGGATTCCAGGTGTGTCTTTATTAAGGCTTTATAAAGTGGTACTAATACTTCACCTGAGTTTGATTCTATGTCTCTGTTTGTGCAACCAAGGATTGTATTAGCTTTTTTTTTGGCTGCTGCCGAAAAAAGCTAGCTCATATTTAAGGGATTGTTCACTAGGGTTCTGAGGTCCCTCTCTCAGTCACTGTTTTTGAGCCAGGTCTCCTAATCTGTACTTATACACCTTTGATTTTTTTCTGCCTAAATTGAAAAAAAAATATTTTTTTGAATAAAAAAAAGAAAACCACTCACCGTTCTTTCAGCTTTTGGCAACCATGCGGTCCTTTATGGTTTGCATTCTGCAACGAGATCAAAATTACAAATTCTAAATAGTTTTGAAATAACTTTTGGGCCTCTTTGGAAGGATATTTGTTTTTTTAAAAAAGACCTTTTAAGGTGGGATGAAACTCAAGGACCTTGGAGTACTCATCTCTAATGATCTAAGTACTAGAGCCCACTGTAACTACATAGCCAAAAAGGCATTAAGAGTTGTTAACCTAATCCTACGTAGCTTCTTCTCTGGTAATATCACACTGCTAACTAGAGCATACAAAACATTTGCTAGACCTATACTTGAATACAGCTCATCAGTCTGGAACCCACATTTTGTATCTGATATTAGCACAGTTGAGAAAGTCCAGAAATATTTCAATAAGCGCACCAACGTGCCTACCGTCCCTGTCCTATTGTTTCTCTTATTCTTCTTTTATTTTTCTTATATGTACCCATTTCATGTATTCACAACTATGTATACACTTATACTTATTATCTTGTAAACAATTGGCAAATCAAATAAATAAAAAATAAAATAAAGAAGAGTTCTCCACTCCTCTACTCATTGCAGAATACCTTATGCCACCAGACTTGAAATTCTAGAACTAGAAAACCTTGAATTACGCCGTCTTCGGTCTGATTTAAGCATGGTATATAAAATCATACATTGCGATGTCCTACCTGTCAATGAATACTTCAGCTTCAACCATAACAACACAAGAACAAACAATAGATACAAACTCAAGGTTAATCGCACCAAACTTGATTGCAAGAAATACGACTTCAGCAACAGAGTAGTCAATGTCTGGAATCCTCTACCTGACTCTGGTTTCTTCCCCAAACCCCAAAAACTTTAACCTTAGACTGTCTACTATTGACCTCACCCCTTTCCTAAAAGGTCTGTAGGGAGCGTGCATAAGCGCACCAACGTGCCTACCGTCCCTGTCCTATTGTTTCTTTTTATTTTTCTTAGATGTATCCATTTCATGTATTCATAACTATGTTTATACTTATACCTGTTATCTTATAATTGCTTGACAAAATAAATAAATAAATAAATACTTTATTGAGTAGTTCCTCTGTAATTAAGATGAATGTTTTTACTAAAGATGTTTTTTTTCTGATAGAGACTTTACCAATATTTATAACCTATAAATTTATTTAGCATCCAAGGCAAAAAAAAAAAAATCTGTAAAATTGGGGATGACTCACTTAACAGCTGCCTTGCTTAGCGATAGAAATTTTGGCTCAAATTGTGGTCATAAGTCAAGGACTACCTGAATTTATGTTTTTATCTCTTCGCCACATTTCTATCCTGCTGCAATCCAACTAGATTCACTTAACAATTAGGTTACTAATTTACCAACTGCAGTGTTTCGCTTAGTGGCAAGGAAGGCCATAAACTGGGAGACAATTAACTACTGCCTCACTTAGCTACAGACATTGTGGCCTCAATTGTGACTGTAAATCGAGAACTACCTGCATTGATATTTTTTTAATCTCTTTGCCGCATTTTTATCCTGCTGCAATCGAAGAATTTTGGGGGCACAGATAGTCCTTGACTTACAACGGTTCATTTAGTGACCGTTGGAAGTTACAAGGGCCCTGAAAGAAGTGACTTAGGACCGGTTTTCACACTTACGACCGTTGCAAGTATCCTCATGGTCACGTGATCAAAATTCAGGCCCCTGGCTATGGACTCATACTTACAACAGACACAGTGTCCCAGATCCCCTTTTGCGATGTTCCAACGAGCAAGTTCAATGTGGTTGTTAAGTGAATCTTAACAGGTTACTAACAGCAACTGCAATGATTCACTTAGTGGCAAGGAAGGTCGTAAAATGGGGCAAAATTAACCACTGTCTCACTTAGTGATGGATATTCGGGGTCTCTTGTGGTCGTACATTGAGGACTATCTTTATAGATCATCTGGGAAATGTTGGGAGTAGAAGTCCCCACCTCTTAAAGCGCCCAGGTTGGACAAACCCAGATCAAGGCGCAATGTGCAATGACCAGGAAGATTTCAAACAATCCCCGATGCGAATAAACCACGATTCCTTTGAATGTTGCTGGCTGCAATCAGTTGGCATCCCATATTGCCATGTCAGCTTGAAAGGTTCAAAAGCCCCACCCTATTTGCCCCAACCAGGAGCCCCTGAGGTGAGGGTCGAAAGGTGCACTACAAGCCCCATCATCCACTCTCGTGTAATGCACAATGACTTTGCAGGGCCAGTTGGGCAGGACCGGACTCTCCATCGTCCCCAGTCAGCCATATTCTGCCCAAAACCCATTCAGCTGTATGGCTGGGGATGATGGGCTTCTTCTGCCCAAGACCACCCAGCTGTATGGCTGGGGACAATGGGCTTTGGAAGCCCCGGGAGGGGTATCCCTATCTGCCCCAACCA